TGCAAACATAATTTTAAGGTTGCACAATATTACACTGAAGGATGGGCTATATAATGTACTTGATAAATTCTCCATTTGGGGAACCTACAGATTCCAGTATTCTCTGTTGCGTAGCCTCAGGGAACCCTGCCCAGGGTGAGTCCTGGTCCCCTGTCGAGTGCTCAGAACTTGCTTTGCAAACAAGAGAGCAGAGCACCAATACCTGGACACCTCACCCTGCTGCCCCGGCTGGGAACGGAACCCACCTGTTAAAGTACAACCGTTCCCAGTGCCTGGATCACTGCAGAGGCAGAGAGGAGCTGTCACCCCAGCCCTGGGAAAGACAGCCCCACTCCTGTCCCTGGAGTCACATCCAGGTCCCTGTGACTCTCAGGTTGGGACCAAAATGAAGAAAAGCATTTTAGACCCCTGATCGCGATGCGCTGCAGAGCAGCCCCATCCAGAGGGCTAAGGGAGGGCCTGAAAATCTGGCTTTAGCAAAACTAAAAGGAAAGAAGACAAAAGCAGATTGCCCTTTTGCTCAGAAGCAGAGGTCCTACGTCATGTTAAAGCTGATGCCGACTCTCTAGCAGAACAGCCAACTCTGAAGAGACGTTTCCAGGGCTCCCGGGCCACAGCCAGGATGCTCCTGCCAAACAGCAAGCCCACACGGCCACCTCCCTGTGGAGGGCTGGGGTCCAGGCTCCTCCCACAGGCAGATGGGACAGGTGGGCCCAGGTGAGCGCCTGCCCTGCAGCTGGCCCCACACAGCAGGTAGCCCGCCCCACTGAGGCCGCCCTGGAAGCTCACGGGAGCGCCCATCCTGTGCAGGGATGTGGCTGGTGGAGAATCGAGCTGGCAAAGCTCTCAGGAGGCTGTGACACAGGGCTGGGGCAGCCGAGTTCGCGCCGCAGCATCTGTGCGTGTGCTTGGTCCCACCCAGACCGCCCCAGACACAGCGATGGTTGGGGAGTGCCTCCGGGGAGCGTGGTGACCAGGGAGTCACTGTGCCCTGGCCCCGGCCACCTTCCCCAGACCACATCGGCACTCTTGGGTTCTGTCCTGTCAACTTCCAGACCACACGCTCCATTGGCTCCGATGCTGCTGCCTTGAGCCCCAGGCCTGGATGCCCAGCTGCCCCTCCTGCCCGTGACATCACACCGCATTGTGAAAACCGGTCAGTTCTGCCTCAGGAGGTCGGGCGGCTGGCACAGGATGCAGGTGGTGGATCCCAGCTCTCTCCGATCCCCCATCCGCTGGCAGCCTGGGCCCAAGATGAAGCAGTTGCCTTGCCCTGGGGTCGCCATGCAGGGCAGCGGATCCTTTCCCTCCTGCCCAGCAGGGCTGCCAAACTCTCTCTGGGTGACAGACACGTGCTCATGTCACCTGGAAATGTGCTGTTGTGACACCGAAGCCACCCAATGCCAAGACCAGCAACCCAGGGCCGGCAGCAGGGGCAGCGCTGAGAACCCCCTTACCCCGAAGGAGGCCTTGTCCACTTCGTGGACCTAGAGTATGTGTGATGTCACATCCCAGTGACAGGGTGGGAGACAGTGGGTGCTGCAGAGAATGGACAACAGCAAGACAAGTGTCCCCGGGGGTCAAGGCCATGCTGGGGCTGACACGGGGACACCAGGCACCTCTGTCCCTTTCCCCAAGTGAAGCCCTGGTGCCCTGTGGAAACTAAGCTGTGTGGCGTTGTTCACCGCACAGCCATGAGCGCCAGGCTGCAGTGGGCCTGGCGTCTCCGAGGACCAGCTTCCTGCCCCTGCTCGGGCCCCTGGCTCGGCACGGCCCACAGAGCTCCTGCAGCACCCCAGAACCACGCACGGGAGGCAGGGTGTTGCCATGTGCTCCAGCCTGGTGTTCTGAGTGAGCTCTCGGGCCCAGACTTGCATTTACCACTCTGGACCAGGGCCCCGCACGCCTGTGCCCTTCCCTTCTCTTTCTCCACACCCAACCGACCCCAACATCATTCCTCATCACCCCACAAGCTCAGCTCTGTTCCTGAGAGGCATCCCTGCAGTGCCAGTATCCTCCTGCCCTGCACCTCCAGGCTGCAGGGTCAGGGCTGCCTGCTTCTGTGGGAATGCCTTCCCCTGAAAACCCCACCATCAGGGACGGTCTAGACACTGACTGCAGCCGCAGGACCACACACACGCACGCACACACACACAAGCACACTGTCCATCTAAGGGATGAATGTTTAAACTCCAAAATAAAAGTAAGAAAATCACTATTAACACTCTCAAAATACCCTCCTCATTTTAAACTCATGTATCCTGTCAGTCACCATGCTTCCCCCTCTGAAGCAGCTCTGGAGCCCTCTTTCATGAGTTCTCTATGAGCCATGATCAAAAATACAGTGAGGGCTTCTGCCAAGCACCATCCAACAGAAAGGCGGGCTCATAAAACACGATGTGGAGTCCTTGTTCACCTTCTTCACCGGATCTGGCACCGCGAGACTTCTGGCTCTTCCCCAGAGTCAAAACGACCATGAAAGGAAAACATTTTGAATTCAGCTCAGGACTCTGGGGCAACCACAACAGTGCAACTAAAGACACTCGGGAAAGAGCGCTCCAGAGCTGCTGCAGAAACTGGCGAGAACCAGGTGATGAGTGTGTTCAAAGTGAGGGAGGATTGTGATGAGGACTAATACTAATGTACATTTTATAGTAATACATTTTTTAAAAAATTTAAAATTCACTGTATTTTTATCAGAACTTGAATATATATTTATATATCTATATATATGTGTGTGTATGTGTATAAACTATGTATATACAGAGTCCACCAAAAAAATGCAGACATAGGAAAAGAAAAACTGGCATAAATATTTGAATACTGAATTTATTGAGCCACCAAGAGGCTAATGCTGGTTACCTTTGGCCTCTACAGTTACAAGAGGTGCTCAGAGTGGTGGCCTTAGCTTCCAGACTGATTAGCAAGGTGAGCCGCTAACTGTGCATACATTGTTTGGCAGACTCTGTATATAAATGTCTTTCAGCAGCAAAATGCCAGCTTTGGTACGCTGAGATGCATTCGAGGAGGCTGGGGCCGGACAGGCATCTGGGGTCCATCACCACACGGGGCTGGCCGGCAGCCTGTCCACTCTGGCCCAGGCTCACTCCCCAAGGGCCTCGGCAGAAGCTGACTTGTGTGTGGGTCTGTGCAGCAAGACACTGCTTAGACAAGCAAGGCCAGGTGAGGATGGACGGCACCGTATGATCTCAGCCCCATGCGCTCCCGAGTGTCCATTTCCCTGCCTGTGTCCCCACCCACACGGACAGGCCCTGTGGATGGGCACTGGACACAGCACCAGGTCCTGACTTCTCCAGGCCTGTTTCCTCATCGGGCTAAAAATTAAAGCAGTATCTACCGCATGGTTTGCTGTGGTCATTAGGTAAATTGAAACATAAATCACTGAGGGTTCTCTGGCAGTTTATCAATCATGACGTGCTAGCTTGTGTCTCCCACTTAAAACAATAGCGTGGGTTTATGGATCTTGCTATGACATGTAGGATAAGAAGAAGCAAAGAAACCTTACACAAACCAGCTCTGTGCACCCCACTTTGTGTGCGGGGTGGTCTGGGGATGCTGGGTAAGGCTGCTTCCCGACTGACCCCCTGGAAGTGACCAGAAGACCCGCCACCCACAGGAAAAGTGGGGCCCACACCAAGCCACCAGGAGCTCACACGGGCTTGGGCACTGGGGCGCTCAGCATGGAGTAAGAACACACATGGGAAGACGAGGCCTCGGTCCACACAGCCAGCACGGCTGACACAGGCAGGAACCCAGGCTTCTCTGCTTTGGCCCTGGTGAAGGCTGCTGTGCCAAGTAGAGAGAAGTCAGAGGCAGACAAACTTGAGTGAGAAAGAGCTTTCTAATCACCAGAACTTGGGAAGGAGAAGCGGGCAGCTCACGCATTGGCTGTGCCCAGGGCGGCACCTCGCGACCTCCAGCATGGCAGTGCCCTCTGCACCGGCAGCTCCCGTCCGCAGAGTGAGTCAGGTCTGTGTCGGGCCGCCCTGCAGACCGCGTGAGTTTGGGTGTGCACCTCCACCCAGACGGTGCTGGGCCGGCGTGGCACTGGCTGGATGTCAGCCCATGTTAGGCATGGGTGGGTGCCCTCCCCACACAGATGTGGAGGGAGGCAGCTTGGTCCGCTCCTAACCCTGCAGCTGTTATGGTCAGAGTTGCCTAAAGCACCACTGCTACCCCATTCGCGTCCTCCAGCCGAGCACTCTCGAGCTCCACGGTCCGTGAACCTTGGAGACCTGCACCGCGCTGGCCCGCAGGAGCCTTCAGGACGCCTGCACTGGGTGGACACCACAGTGTGCCTTCCGGGGAGTGACGGAGTCGTCCTGTGTGACTCCAGGTCTCTCCACAGCCTTCTTGAATCAGAATCGGTGAAAATCCCAGTCTACCTGGCTTCTGCTTCCAGACACAGTCATTTTAAATTCATTTCAAGCTCAACAGTCTCTGCAATTTAACTCGATTAAACACAGCACAGATTTAATTGGAGCTTCACTGCAAATTAAGATCAAAGGATCCATAGAATCGACTGCTCTTTAAATATAGTTTAGCTCAGCAAGCTAATTGTCCTTTTACTGAGATACCATGCTGGGCAGACATTAAATTTTGGTTCACATAGCAGAACAAACAAATGGTGTGTGGGCCTCTGCGTGCCTGCTGTGATGATGCTACGTGAGTAATGAGTAATATTTGAGAGCATTAGTCACTGCTGGCTTTGCATACCCCCTAAGCCGTCAATCAGGAGTCTGGATAGGCTAGGCCTGGATTCCCCACCCCCACCCCGTGCTGCTAGCTGAGCGCCTGGGAGCTTTACTCCTTTCTAGGCATTTGCTACTGCTTATTCACCTATACTTACTGTTTCTGTTATTCAGAAATCTGGGGTGTTTCCAGGGATTTGAAATTCAGTGTGGCTCTATGCTCAAGGAAGAAACTAGAAGAAAATGGCACATCTGTCCGGTATGTGGCCTACCATTGTGAGACAGCTCCTCTTTTCCTGGGCAGGGACGAGGCGCCCTGGTGGAAGGGAGTCACGTGACACCTCGGAGGAGTCAGGGTGGAGGAAGAGGACAAGCTGGTTTCCCTTCCTGCTTCTGAGTATTCTGAGGCCTGTCCACAGGTAAGGAGGCCGGGGAGGGGGAGGCCCTTCAGAAAGGGAAGGCACAGCCACGTTGGCTTCTCAGGAGTGTTTGTATGGTGGAGAGTGGACGAGAAGAGAGAAGAAACTGGGGAAAACAAGCAGCTTGGCATCATACTGGCCTAATAAGCTGAAGAGGCTGTCATGAAAAAGTGGCATGCAGGGAAGACCGAGCTGCAGGCCAGGCCTGCAGTAGAAGTGCAGGGTGCACTGTCCACTGGTTGTGTGGAATGAAGGAAAAGAGGCTCTAAAACGGATCGCGCTGCTGGAGGGCGGAGTGAACACTGCCTGGGATTCAGGACCACGGGAGCAAACAGGACCAAGAAACGCACCCTGCTTTGGGCTGCTGAGTTTGAGTTACATGCAGCTCTTTCAGTACAGCTGAGTTCAGAAAGTGACAGTCAGATGCAGACTTCTGGGAACAGGGCTGTGAGACACTGGCCACAGCTACCACCAGGACATGGATGGGAGCCACCTGAGCATACTGTTCCATGTCCTCACAGATGCCCAGTTTTCACGAAGAGATTTTGAATGCCTCTGAAGATATAGATGTTTCACTCCTAATTCACAGGACTTGAGACTATACAGAGATGGATGTCATGGGGTCCTCCATCTCGTCCACGTTTTAGGAATTAAACAAAGCCCAGGAAAAGACTCCTGGGTGGACAGAGTGACAGGCTCCCCAAACATCAGGACCCTGCACCACGCAGGCCTTACCTCACTCTTTAGACCCATTGCTATGGCTTAGGTCTAAACTGGCTCCCAAAGCCTCACGTGTTCGGGAGGTGACTGAATCATGGGACCTCACAGCTATGGGCTGTCAAGAGGTGGGGCCTGGTCAGAGGAGGGGTCACAGGGGGCATGACCCGGAAGGGTTATCTCCCCCGGCTCCTCCTTCACTCTCTGCTTCCTGTCTGCCATGAGTTGAGCAGCTTTTCCTCCCCCATTCCCTCTGCCCTGCCTTGGAGCCAGCAGAATACAGACTGAAACCACTGCCAACTGTGAGCCACAATAAACCTCTTCCCCTTTAAACTGTGAGCACTGGGTGTTGGTCCTCGCTGGCTAAGACATCCACCTTCCCCCTCCTTGGCTTCAAGTCCTTCGGGGGGCACGGTGCTGCCTCATACTCAGCCCCTGATGCTGGAACACCCTCTCCTGCCCTCTGTCTCTTGAGAAGACCTACAAGTTTTCCTGAGACTCAACTCATATCCACTGCACCAAGAAGCCTACCATGACCACCCACCCTGGGTGGGACAGGCCTCTCTGGGCTCGGCACACCTCCTGGCCCTTGTGTGCATTCCTAGAGCAGAGCCGACACCACTGACATTGAGCAGGATGGTTTCGTGCCCCCTTTTCTGCTTCTGTGTTAGCATTTTGGGGATAGAGGCTAAATCTCCCTCTGCTCCCACAGAATATCTGGCCCAGCGTGCGAGGCTCCATCAGGAAGAAGGGAGAGCAAGGAGTAGGATGGCAGGAAGACAGGAAGGGGCCCGGGCGGCCACATCCAGGGGCTTGGAGAGGCTGGAGCGCAGGTATGCGGGGTGAGGACCGGACCAGACTGGTGCCAGGGCACAAGGGGACCCCCCACACATGCGCACAGAATCAGGGCAAAGAATCCAGCTTTGCCGGAGCCCTGAGTGGCAGCTCTAGGCACAGCCAAGCTCTGCCTGAAAACCTCACCGTAAACTCAGATTCCGGCATCCGGCTGTGGTCTTTCTTCTAGAACAACACATGGATTTTTCAAAGCATTGAAAGGTAATTTAAAACAGCAGAGCCCATGCATTATTGCTTGGTGAGTCACCAGACTGTTCATTAAAGTAAGTTTGTCACACATCTGGTCAGCATTTAGACACCATGACTTTCGCATGCGAGTCTGTAGAATTGAGATAACAGTTTGTACAGACTTTGCTAGGAGTTTGGGTATATTTGTTTTTGGAAAATCAACCAAGCTGCAGTATCAGGGGAACACAGAGAAGGATGCTTTCTGCTTTGTTTACTGACTTGAGGGCCACCCACCTCAGGCCGCAGCCTTGGGGTGCAGCCACACAGGTAATCCCGAGAGGCAGCGCTGCCACTGCAGCCCACCCGAAGCCCACAGGAGGCCCTCGGGGCTCCTGGCCAGGCATTTGTCTGCCCAAAGGACGGGGAGCAAATTGTTTCCTCTCTGCCCCAAGCCCTTGATCCTCAGGACCTCACAGCAGACTCCTGCATGCCCCTTTCCACTCCAGTCTGCCCCAGTGCTGCCCCTCTGCGGAGGAAGCAGGCCTCCAGGCCCCAGTGCACTTTGTCAGTAATTGTCAGTCCTTGTCAGGAATCGGCATCTCTTGTCACTGAAATGCGCCTCTGCAGAGCCCCCTGTGTCTGATCCAGGGGGCCTCCCAGAAGCACAGCAAGCAGGGACCTCAAGGTCCAGGACACAGAGCTGGCCACTGCTATCCCCGGGGCCACAGAGGGACTGAGCCCTGGGCCAGGACCTCACAGGGAGCTGAGGGCGACGGAGACAGGAACAGAGAGTGGGTTTTTCTCCCCATCCTGACACCTCCTCGCTTCCAGCACTTGCTCCACTTGGATAGCCGGGGCCGTGAGCAAGCTGCTGAGATTCCTAGAGAAGAAGATGAGCATAACAGTGTCCACTGACTGGACCTTCGCCAGGACTAAATGGTGACTTTCCAGGCGAGTGCAGCTGGGCCAATCCATAGCACACAGTGAGCTTTCGCCACACCTTCCTGGACAGAGGTGAGGGCCCTCAGCCAGACGGCCAGGATGGAATCCAGCTGCGGCCTGATGTGGATTTCCTGACTCCTCACCTCAGCTCTCTTAGCTGAATCAGGTCCTCTCCAATGGGGTGTGGTAAGGGTTGAACTAACGACTCTGCCCCAGGCTTAGAACAGCGTTCTGTGTAGTGTAGCCCTTTCTTACCTGTACACTCCTTGGGTAGGTGTGGCATGTTTCTGTGGTATCATGGAGTCGAGATAGCATCATTAGGTCCATGCCAGGTGCTCAGTACCTCTCTGTGAGATGGATGGATAGATGGATTGATGTATGGATGGATGGGTGGGTGTGTGGATGGATGGGTGGGTGGTTGGGTGGATGGGTGGGTGGATGAAGGGATGGGTGGGTGGATGGATGGGTGGGTGGATAGAATAACCTTTCTTTCAGAAAGTGGAAGTACTTCATGATGCATTTTGTGAAACTGTCATTCAGACCAGGTACACAGGGTCTTCTACAGAGCTCTCTGGGTTGTACAAGATAAGCTGGGGAGGGGCAGGCATCGGCGACCTCATCCTGCCCCCGACCTGTCTCGGGTGAGCTGTGTCTCCTGTGTGAGTCGTGTAGCCCAGGTGAGGATATTGTGCTTCTGAGCATCTGTGGGAAAGGACTCACAGAGACAAGCACCCTGGACAGTACGGGGGAGCTGAGAGGGTCCCTCCTACTGGACATTAGAGCATCCCCAAGAATCGTCCAGGTGGACCAAGCCAGGGTGCAGGGCTGTGAGGTGATGCGGAACACATCAGGTCATCACTGCAGCACCTGTGAGGTGCCAGCTGTGTGCGGGGTATCATCGGGGCAGCACCAATGGCCCAGTGTCCCCAGCAGCGCCATGGGCATGGGGGTCTGATAAATCATCAGCAGGGAGCTGAAAGTTGACTTTCTGATGCGAGCTCCAGCTCATTGCTTAGAAGAAGCTTGGACCCCTAGAAAAGCCCACCAGGAAGAGGTCCACTAAGAGGGAGGAAGGTCAGGGGTTTCCGAACCAGAACAGGCAAACAGTGATGTGCTAATAGTTTAAAGAAATTCCTTTGTTGAATCCGTGTATTACAGTTAGGGGATGAAAGGGTTTGAACCCCCTGTGAGGAATGCTGTATAGCCTGAAAGGGGGAAGAAAAGAGAGGACGAGACTGCTGTAAGTGTGGCTTGTGTCATGTAAAAAAGTGATATGACCTGCTGTCGTGGAGAGTGAAGTCAGTGGCAGAGGCCACAGGTGCACTGGTTTCTTCTCATCCATTCGTTTGTAGCTTTCATTCATCTAAAATGACAACCAAGAATCCAAGCTGAGATACAAACTTGCATCAAACCCCATCTCTGTCATTAACCAGCTATGTGATCTTAGGCAATGAGTCTACTTTTTAATTATTATTCTGCGAAAGCAGGGATAAAACAATGCTGACTGCAAAGTGCTATTTTTGGAATTCAGTGAGTCACCAGAGGGAAGGTTATTAATGTAGGTTTGGCAAATATGAGGCACTCAGTAAAGGTTCGTTATGACTGTCACCGTTGTTATTGTGAGGAACACTTTCTATGTGCTGGACTCTGTGCGGACTTGGGTGACAAAGTTAACAGGGTGGAGCCCTCCTCTGACTTTTCAGTGCAGAGTGCACACAAGTCCACAAGGAGAGCCCTGCGGGGGAACACTGCATCTGGAGGGGTTCAGCTGCCCCCAGCAGCGGGTTTAAGGAAAGGTTGACCAAGGCCTTGGGGAGAGGAGCAGGAGGGCCTCAGGTTCCAGAAATCCCCCTGGATTGGATGATCTTCAGCGGCCCTCTGGCCCCAGGAGCCTCTGGTTCTAAATTTCTTCCTGGAGACAGTGCTGAGTACCTTTGTCCTAGTCCACAGCCAGAGAGGAGGCCTGGTGAGAGCAGAGTCCAAGCTGGGCCACGCAGCACTCACTAGGTCCACACTTCGGTGCCACATTTGTCTCAAGGGTGTGACCTCCTGCCACGTGGGGGTGGGCTGGGGACACCAGTGGGTCTCAGCTGGCCCTCTGGGCAGGGGCTCTGTTACTCAGAGATGACAGGGAGGTGACGTTTGCTTGCAGAGCGTCTGCCCTGAACCCTCACCCAACTGAAACGCACTCAGGAAAGAGCAGAGTCAGGACGCAGACTGGTCCCGGCTGGCTTCCGGGCTCGCAGCTGTCCCTGTCCACACAGCCTCAGCGCTGTGGCCCTCCACCTCACTCGACCTCCAGACCCCAGGAGCATGTGCGGCGGCATCACCTTAGCTCGCCAACCTGGAAATGATCTCATCACCTAACCAGCATGGACCTCAGATGCTAGAAGAAAGAATAGCCCTCACTCCTTTGGTAGCTGTCCAAGTATTTGGAAATACTATATGAATTGGAATAAAAAGGCATTCAATGTTTTTTACTTAGTTTGTAATTTAAAATCAATTGAATTAATTTAATGTATAGTAGATGTAATGATTTAAATTGTGTATTTAATAGGCAAGAAAGGGCTTCAGTATCAGTCTGCATGGGCACGCAGCCTGCACCAACAAACCCTGTAAACACTACAGTCAGGGTCCCAGAGTTCACTATCTGTTGCCAGGGTAACCTTTCAGTGCCCACCACATTTCGGGAATGTTGGCTTCGACTCCCCATCTAGAGAAGCGGTATCTTAGAGGTAGAAATCATTCTGTCATCCTGTGAAGCTCGTGCCATCATTCCAAGAACATCTAACAATTAGATGGCTTCTTAGGAGCCCGGCACCGGGTTGAGATACTGACAGGATGTCTTGTTTAACATAATTCTCACCCTAAATGGAGGCGTAACTGTTATCAAACCTGTTTTGTGAAGAAAGAACTGAAGCTTGTAGAAGCTAAGAATCTTGGTGAGCATGAGATGTCAGTAACTGTAACCCTGGGACCCAAACCCCAGGCTGAGGGATTCAAAGCCCAGGCATCCACACTATTATCCTGCCCTGCTCAGGCCGGACACAACGTGCATTCTCCACAAGTGACCAAGGCATGGTGGCTTGGGCAGCTTTACTACCAAACCTGCTGTGATCTGCACCACTTATTCAGAGCATGTTACAATGGGCAAAAAGAGCCTTTGTGACTCTGGTTCTTAGAAACTCGGGATGCAGATTTCTTAAGTTGCTGAGATCATTACGTTGAAGGAATCTTCAATGAGGAAATATTATAAGTTGGATAAGGTAATGAGTTTATACTATATGCTTATATAATATTTTTACCTGGATAAAAATGCTCCTTGCTGTCTTGGTTGAGATTCGAATGTGTCGTGTTGGGATGGGATTGGTGGGAGGAGGGATGAGGTGTTTACAGAAGGACTTCCTTGCGTCAATATGGATTCTATTGTCACTTCTCCTTTTTGCCACAAAAGAGAAGAAACTATCTTCTCCTTGAGATCTTTAAGTACCTTCTCTTTAGTTGAAAAGGAAAAGCTAACATGGGACCGAAGGACCCAGACTGCTATCTTCTGCATTGTACTCTCAGGGCCAACGTGCTTTCGGTGAATTTGAGTCAGAGCCTGTGAAATGTGGCCAAGCAAGTTTGGGACACGCAGACTACTGGTATACTGACCTACCTCCCGCCCATGCCAAATGAATGGAAAACGATTGTTCTATGTTTTAGCTTTATGATTTGCTGAGCTGGCTGGTTTCCAAATCTTGTAAACAATACTTTTAAAATTGATTTTGAAACTACTTTGAAAGAGATCTTGCTACTTCAAAATGAAATTTGAGTGAGGACAGGAAGCCCCTGCACGTCATCCTGTGCAGCTTCTGGCGCTGGTTCCAGCCCACTCAGAAGTGTTTTGGGGACCCTCTGGGTCACAGCCCTTTGGGGACAGCAGTCACATGTCACACAATGCTATAGGTCCCTAGAGTGAGGAGCACTCTGAGTTTCCCATGAAAATCATAATTTGGGGGCAGCAAAGCAAGGAAATTTTTATGAAGCTAAAAAATGTAAAAAGCCAAAGTCAAAAAAAATGAGAAAAGGATGGGGGAGAAGGAAAGCAACAAAAGCTCTGCCCCCCCCACCCCATCCTGGTCAGTGAGGAAGAAATGTGGGTGGGGCCCTGGGGTGGGGGGCCTCAGAGCCTCACGTGGGACCACCTGGTCAGATTCTGGGCCGCAGAACAGATGGCTAAGATGCAACCAGCCCATCCTAGTGCTGTAGGCAGCTCCAGCTTCTCTCATCACCCGCAAACTGCCTGGGAAGAAAATCTCAACAAAGTAACGCAGGACAACCGGAAGACTGTTAGCATAACACTGACAGTTTCCACCACTGAAAAGCAAAGATCCGTAATGCGTAGAAGATATTCTGCCAAGAAAAGAGACTCTGGTGAGGGTTTGAAGTTGGTAATCAAGAAAAAGTCATTTAATTACTCATGCATTCATTTGCAACAAATTTATTGAGCACGTAAAGGTCCTGACAATGAGCAAAACACGGCCTCGGGCATCGACAGCGAACCTTCTAGAGCATTCAGTGATAACAGCCTGCTCCAGCACGCATGCCACAGGTGTGCCTTCCTGGGTCTAGGGGTTCAGGTAGTCCCCGCTGGCAAGGCGGAGCTCTCAGGGAGGGAGCTCTGACTGCAGAATGCTGAGAGGGGACAGAGGAGACAGTTCTGAGAGTGTGCTCTCGGGCCGGCGCTAAGCTGCCAGGACGGTCCCTTCCGAGTAACACCACAGGTTTGCTGTTGGCAACACGCCTCATGAAACTTGTTCTCTGTGGTTAACACAGTGCAATGCAATCACTTTTACACTGTGTGTGTGTTTTTGCCTATAAAACCTGATGCTAAACAGAAAGACAACTAGCAACATCACAATTGTGAATGCCTAAGGGTGTTGAAACTGTTTACATCTTTTGTAAGTATCTTGCATTCAATTTGCAACTCCTAGGAGCACTTAGCCTGGCACATCGGGAAGCCTGGCTATTGTGTATCCCGGGCAGCACGCAGTGGACTCTGCCCAGCCCTGCCGGCAGCAGGGGTCACACTGCCAACCAAGGCTTGTCCTGAAAATTCACCAAGACTCAAGATGGACTCAGCCTCGTGCTGGGGTCGGGCTTTGGCTCCCATGGCTAACCACGGAGAAGAAGATGCCAACAGAGGCTGAGACAGCTTCCCGGGCAGACTCATCTGCCGTGTCCCTGTCATCTGTTTCTGCAGAAAAGCATTCCTGTGAGCCCCAGATGACAGCTCCAGACAGTGCGCTGTGTGGAACCTCCTCGTCCAGCTTTGACTCTTCACCTTTGCTTGAATAAAGCTTAGCTGTAAATGTAATAAATCCTTCTAGTGAGAAGTGGATTTGGAAATAGAATCCCCCCCGCCAAAAAGCGTGAAACCTGAAGGACCAGCTGAGCAGCCATCATGATCCAGAGTCCACGTGGCAGGCAACGTAGGATGAGGAAAGATGTCAGGTGTGCGTGTTGCTCTATGACTCTCACCCAGGACAGTCAAACTCTTCTGCTTTAGGTCAATTTCCAATCTGACCTCTCCTGGGCTGTGTTTTTTGGGGGCTGCTCTGGCCCTTGGACCTTGGGGCCTTTCCCAGTCAGTCCAGGCCTCTGGGAAGGGCCTTCAGCCTTCAGCCCACACCGAGCAGGGATGGCCTGCGTGCTGTGCCGTGCAGGTGGTGGCTCTGCCTCCTCTGCCATCCCGGGCCACGGGCACGTCTGTGCAGCAGTGTCCTCCTCAGTGCCTGAGAGCCGTCTCAGCGGACAGCCTGGGCACCGGGGCCAGGCGCTCTGCTGTGGAGCCTGCGGAAACTCCCCTTCAAGAAAACCCTTTTCCTTCCATGCATGGAGACTCTGCCCCTTCTAACCTTTGGTGCTCTCTGCATGGGAACCCTTACCTGCTGGGCATTCCTGTCCCAGCCTCCTTGAAGAGGTCCTGTGGAAGGCTGGTGGCTTCTGCTTTGGACTCTGGACCACAAAAGGCAAGGACAACTACTTCAGTCAAGACAATGCAAACATCTGGGTACCCTCCCAGAGCATAATGGGGCGCACTGCAGAAATAATCTTGCTGCAATATCCCGCCTCATTAGGGAGACTCATTATCTACCTAACTGGCAATTAGTCCAGGAGATAAATTGCTATATGCACATTAGTTTTCCAAAGAAACAGAGGCAACAAGAGCTATATAGATGACAAGTCTTTCCCATATGGCTTGAGATTAGTTCCCTCAATAAACACCCGTTGCTTCCTTTGTCTGGGGAGAACACTGCCTTCAGAATCATCTCCAGTGCCCTCCTCACACGCCGGAAGGGACAGCCTCTCTTCCCTCTTTCATCGCCTGCCTGTGCTTGTTGACTTTGGGCTCAGCACAGGCCAGTCCCGTTGCGCTTGGTACGAGATCAGCAACCAGACGGGACTTTTCCTTGGCGACTGCCAGGACTCTATTCCCCAGTTCCCAGGTTGCTGGAGGCAGCCAGCCCTGAGCAGGTAAGGGAGCCCCACCCTCAGCCGCCCACCCTACTGTGCTGCTGGGTGAGCTTAGCAGCCACCCAAAACCGTTGTTGTGAAGGTTCCCAGATCAGTGAGTGTCGCCGGCCTCAAGTCACCATGATGAAGTGGAGAAAGCCCGAGAGAAACAGGGTATGAGGTTTTAGGAGGTTCAAACACACAGCTGAGACGTGAAGGGATGACCTGGGAGATCAAGTTGAAGGGAAATTCTGAACCCCAGGCAAACACCCAGATGTTCCCATTAGTCGTCCCAGGGCCTGCATTAGCTCCACACCACCCATGGGTGCTGAGCTGGGAAGGCAAGCGGACCATGGAAAGGGGCGGGCGGGCACTTCCCTGCTGTCCAGAGCGCCTCTGTCCAGGCCGGACCTGAGCCCCTCGGGCAGGTGTGGGCCTGCGAGGAAGATGAGCACCCTCGTCCATGCTGCCCTGGCCGGGCACAGCCAGCCCCGTCCAGCACCACGGTCCAGGAGGGTTACTCACTTGGTCCCCCTCCAGCAGGGCAGCCGGGGACACCTCCCTCGGTGACCAGGCGTTCATCCTGAGATGACTCGGCGCAGCCCCGCTCTGCCTGATAAGGGCATCCGTGGCCAGGCTGGGAGGGGAGTGGGCGCCCTGGGCCACGCCTGGTGGGCAGCTCGAGTGAGTCAGTCAGGAGCTCCGAATGTGTGACCCGGTTTATCCCGAGGCTGAGTGACAGGGGAAGCTCTGCCTCCAGACCCCGGAAGGCCCGGCTGGGCCTCCCGGAACCACCTCTCCCTCCTCTCCCACACCTCCCTGGTGCCTCTCACTGACTGCACGTTCCTCTTCGTTTTGTCTTTGCCATTTCCAGGGCTGTTGCTTACTTACCGCTGCCCAGGGGACGATCCACGGGATCGCTGGATGAGTCCTGGCCAAGGATGACTCTCCTCCTGTGGTTCAGACAGGTCTGCGCAGGCTGCTCACCGGGACTTCCGCCGTTCTCAAGAGCTGCTGTCATCTCCACAGCTGCATCAGCTCCCCCAAGCCCTGGCGTCCCCCTGAGATCTGATCCTTGTGCCAGCCCCACAGTGGTAAGTGCATGGCAGTGCTTACTCAGCCCTTGCTGTGGGCTTGTTCTGTCTCAAATGCCCAGGGACAGGAGGTCTCAATGGCTCTGCTGGCGAGTCACTACAGCCCAGGTGGAAATACACTAGAGAGCACCTGGTGCGAAACCTAGGCCTTTATTCCGCTCTCTACCTCCTAGCTCCACTCCTAGCTCCCTTGGCTAATTCCCATCCACTGGGCCTCGTGGTGACTCGGAGGTGGCCAGCATTGCCCTTGTAATTGTTCGCAGGGGTCGACAGTGACAGCCACCTTCCTCCGTGTGGCGTCTTCCCGCTCTCACAGTGGCAGTGCAGGTATTTGCACCTGACGCCTGGCTCTGCCTCACCGTGTTCCTGGGCCATTCTCTCACAGGCGTCACCCCTCAAGGACATCCTTGCACACACTGCCCGGGTTAGCATCTCCCTGCAGGGCCCTGGGTCCCCACCCTTCCCCACCACAGCTGCTCAGAATGGGGTCTCACTCAGAGCTGAATCCACAGCCGCGACACAGGGAGACAGGAGGGCACAGTGCAGGGGAAGAGGGTGCCAGACCAGGCCCTGCAGCTGTGCCCTGCGGTGGGAAAAGTGAAGGAGACCAGCGGCTGGGGCTGGATGAGGAGGGACCAGCAGGGGGCAAATGTGGCCTTTTGGACCCCAAGAGTTGTCGCTCTGCCCACCATGCTGGGTACTGAAGTGCAGCTAGAGTGTGAGCCGAGGTGAACAGGTTTGACTCTATGCTGAGTTTCATGGTTCTCCATCAATTTTTTAAAGTATCCCCCTCACACAAGGGGAGCAAATGTGTTCTCCCTGCTACGTCCTGATTCTCAGGGTGCCTGTGGTGTCCTCTGTAGATCGCCCTGACCTGCCCTGTCCAGGACACCCACCCCCAGTTCTGTGTGGTCTACACATTTTAAATTAATTTAAACAAAATGGCAAAAATTCTGTTCTCAAGAACCCTGGACACCTTCCGTGGGCCCAGGAGCCACAGGCGGCCAGTGCCGCCCCCATGGGAGGTGCAGTGCAGTGCAGTGCAGTGCATTGCAGCTGGAGGCTGAGCAGGATCAGGACCAAGAGGGAGGCGGGAGGGACGAGAGGGTCGCAGGCAGGTGGCACATGGCCACAGATGTTTCTCCCTCCCCACCTACGGAGCAGCAGGTGGAAGGCTCTGCTGGGCCTGATTCTCCCCAGCGGCCTCGCAGAGGGAACCATGTGGAGCCCAGGACCAGCAGGGAGGGCTCACCACTATGCCACGAGGCGGAGAGGACACAGCCAGTCCCTCAGTGCCACAGCATCGAGAAGACGTGAACTTTCCAAACTCGGGGCAGTAACACATTCCATGTCCCTGTTTTTCTTTTTCTTTCTTTTTTTGGTATAGAGACTACTTTTTAAAATTTCATTTCTGTACAGACAGTCCCTAACTCAAGATGGCGTGATTCACAAGTTTTCGACTTTCCAGTGGTGTGAGAGCCTACTGCATCAGGAGACCCTGCTGGTACCTGGGAGTTTGGATTGCGACCTTCTCACGGCGGGCAGTACCCGGTGAACTCTCATGCCACTGAGTGGCGGAGCTGGGAGTTTGGAAGGCTTGGTGTATTGAGGGCATTTTCCATGGAGAATATTTTCAACGCACCATGGCCTTTATCAGGAGAGAGACCCATCATAAACAGAGGAGAACCTGTAATTATAAAATAATACACCACTGTTATAGATGAGTTGAAAACCAATGTAGCAAAAAGAAGACCTAGAGACAACGGTGCTTAGAAAACACAAGTATTCACTTACAAAGAGTCTTGCATGTGAGTAAATTTTATGAGTGGCCTTCAACCATGGTTGTATGTAGAATGCTCTGGGAAACTTAAACACCTGGTGTCCTGCCTACGCCCTGGACCACTGAATCAGGATGCCTGGGGTAGAAGCCACGCCAGTATTCTGTAAGACTCCCCTCAGGATCCCAATTCACAGCTGCGGCAGAGAAAGACCGGCCTAGAAGGATGGCTCACCAAATAAAAACACATATGTGTGCAGAGGACAGACACAGATGTGCAGGTTGCTATTCGTGCTGGATAAATGACTAGCACACGTGCAAGGTCATACACGGACACAGCCGTGGTGAAGACTGGCACCAAGCCATGTAGTAAGGAGTTAGAGACATACAGGACCCACTTAAGATTTTACTTACTGGTGGGGCCAGAGCGGGCAGAATGTCTCTAATCCTGCAGGTGCTGTTTGCTTTTCCCCTGGCCTTGGGTGGTGATATACACACTTCTAACACAGGCCAGGTGCCTACTGTGCCTCTGCATTAAGAAATATATAAAGTCACATTTAAAGTTTTTCTAAACTCCCAAATCTACTCCTAAGAGCCAGCCACTGATACTCTAGATGCAATACCTATGCTTATACAAATTACACACACACACACACACACTTCATCATCAACATCCTGTCGTGAGACATCAGGTTAGCTCATTTTTCAGTAGATGCGTACTCAGCAGCTGAGCATCCAGATAATTCATCACAGACATCAGTGTCATAGTGAGTTCTCCCCACTCTTGCAAGGAATACTGCAGCGGACCCAATCACACGCTTATCTTTGGCTGCGTACAAACATGAGGACAGGTTCCTAGGGTTCCTAGAAGCTTGTTTGCTGGTTAAATAGGCTCGGCCAAAATGTCCTCCTAAGAGGCTGCAGCAGTTTACATTTTCTCCTGGTAAAGTAAGAGAATATCCACTGCCCCACACCCTTCTCAATACCGGTCTTTATTTTTTGAATTGGCTCCCCTAGTGGATACCAGAAAGGACTTGGCAATCTTTTAGAAGTTATACAAATGAAAGATAGATATGCAAATGAAAAGTCACCTTTTCTGAAAGGTCCAGCTTCAAGCCCTAGACACACAAACCTGAGAAGGTGGTACCATCTAGGGGCTCCCCTGTCGCTTTCTGGAAAGATACCAATTATTTAGGCAGAAAAGGTACATTGTAAATAATGAATAACAGGGAACTTCTTCCGGAAGGCTGCAGCTTTTCCCAGGGGTAGCGACTGTGGTAGCAGATGTGCCGCCCAAAATTTCCCTGAGCCTCCCCAGCAGGGGCGATCTGGGAGATTTGCCTGTACTCTGAACAGAGCCTTTACTCCATCTGTGTTCTCTTTTATGGCTTTTGATTTCAATCAGTCATTGGGCTGCTGAGGGTGAGAGGCTTCCACTGTCACTAACTCACAGGCACAGTGCAGGGGACTGAAGCCACCTCCCCATCGAGTTTGGCTTCAAAACAAAGGGTTGGACCCCACGGCTGTTTTCTCGCCTGGGGAGCCCCTTGCCCCAGCACAGACCCAAGAACTCCTAGGCCCCTTCGGTCTCATCAGACCAGTTCATTCCAAGAACCTTCACTGACTCTTGTAGAGGTGACTCTCCTGCCTCTGCCTCCTACACATTGCATGAATAACTGCAACCTGCAATGTGCTGCTCAATAATTCATGTGTGCGCCTTTTCTCTGACCCCATCTTCCAGCTGTGCTGCTGGGTCTTATTTATCTTTGCATCTCCAGTAGGCGGTGCCTGGTAAGTTTGCTGAACGGATGTGTCTCCATTTTGAATCCCTGCCGGGGCTGGGCAGCATCACCCATCACCTCTGGCATCTACACTGCCCCCCCAGTTCACAGCTCCTGGACCTTTCCCAGCTTCCCCGGAGTCTCTGATGGGCCACATGACTAGTTCTGGCCTGGGCACACGTGTGACTGAAGTATTGTGTGGCACTTCCTGCCAGAGGCCAGGAGGAGGTTGCTCTCTCTCCTGCTGCCACGGCTGGAGGCCAAGAACTCAGAAAGCAGGACTCAGGATGGAGACAGAGCAAGTCTGTCCTCGCTGCGGAGAGTAGAAGGAAGCGTGGGGCTGGGCTTTGCTGTCATAGCCAAGTTCGGCCTGGCCTGACCGAAGCGGCCTGTGGACTTCACAGGACCTGTGTGGGAGAGAAGGCCCGAAACAGGAGCGTGTCACTTGGTCACCAGGCCTCTCGTCCCTCAGCAAGTCAGGGTGGTGCCGGAGATTCTAGGCTTAAATCACTCTCTGAGCGAGTGCAGCTTTCCTGTGCTGACAGAGACACACTCCCATCCACAGAGAAGGAAGCAACCCCGGGCCAGACCCAGATTCCAGCCACACTATTTCTGATGCTCTGCCAGGAGACAGTGGTCCTCCCTCAAGCCCAGGTCCTCTGGGGTTCGTACTCTAGGAATAAGGTTGACCTATTTAGAAATGGGACAGACTCCACGTCTCTGCAGCTAACTCCACTGAAGGATGTCCGTGTTGAAGTAGCATGGTGGTAAAAAGGTTAACACCAAATTTGAAGTTTATTCCTAAGCAGACATCCTGAGCCCCAGGGAAAGACAGCAGCTGCCCCGTGGCCCAGATAATGCAATATCAGGGTGAACAAGGACATCATGGAACGTTCTGTTCTCCTCCCCTGAGACCAATTAAAATCTGCAGGCATCTTTCCTGTTGACCAGGCTGACTGGCTAATTGAAACAGGATTGTGATATTTTCATCCCTGTTCTCTGATCCCTGCCTGTCTTGCCAGCAGAAAGCAAGCTCTGTGATCCTCAGCTCCAAGCCACTGAGGCCGAGCGCACGGCTCTATGCCCAGCCTAGAAGCAGAATGTCCAGACGAAAGAGGCATGGGCGAGTCGGGGCGTGGTGGTACCCCCAGACCTCGGTCTCCGTTTATCCAGAGGAGAAACAACCTCCCAAGAAAATCTACCTGCCGGGGATTTAGCTCAGTGGTTCCACCATCTGCCTTGCAAGTGGAAGGACCCGAGTTCAATCCCCGGTACCAAAAAAAAAAACAAAACAAGAAAGTCTACCTGGTGAGCAAGACATATGCTGCCTTTGCTACGGGTTCTCCTGTGACCTCACCCCACAGCCTATGCTGGGGCGCAGAGCCCTGCCGAAGCCCAGCAGGGCACCTTCATCTCGCTGACACCCCAGGAGCCACGTAACCTTAGGGTACCCCACACAGCACCACGCCCTGGAGGGCTGCACATTCCAGCTGTGTGCAGCAGCCCGCACAGCAGGCCCACGATGGGAGTCTTTCTCTCCTCTCCAAACCTACCCAGAAGCTGGGCCAGCATCGGTTCTGGCTCAAGGAGGCTCTGGTTGACAAGATCTCGGGAAGAAGAACAACACTCATAACTCCAGGACAAAGACTTCAGCCTCAGCACCTGTCCCTGAGCTTCCTAAAGAAGTGCAGACGCAGGGGCAGCCCGGCAGGCAGACCGTGTCGGCCTGGAAGCCACTTCTCACCGCACTGGCTTGAGAGGCTATGAACCGAGTGCTGCGTCCCCTAAACTGTCTGCCCTGAAGCCCTAACCCCCAAGTGATGGAGTGAGGAGGTGGAACTTGTTAGGTCTTGGGTGGAGACTCATGATGGCATTGTGTTCTCATTAGAAAGGACTCGGGGACCAGAGTTAATGGAAACGCCTTCTGTGTTCGAAATGTTCCTGGAGAGATTGTGAGTGTTCTACTGCAAAACAAAAACAAAAACGTGTGGCCCTGGGAGGTGCTGGATATGTCAGTTAGCTTTATTGTGATAATTATTTTGTAACCAATTTGTTCTGTGTTAATAAACCTGTTTTGGTGATGGAAAACAATGTTCCCTCCTTAAATGTGGGAGCAAGCCAAGAATGCCTGTTCCCCCATCCACTCGGCTTTGAATAGGAGGTCCTAGCCTGCATGATAGGGCAAGAAAAATAAATGAAAATACATAGATTAGAAATAAAAAAGACGGAAATTCTCTGTTACAGGCAACACAATAATCAATGTAATCAAAAGGAATCCAACACTGGGCTGGGGATTTAGCTCAGTGGTTTCACTGCCTGCTGCAGAAGCACAAGGACCCGAGTTCGAACCCCAGTACCAAATAAATAAATAAATAAGGAATCCAACACTAAGACTGATGGATTTTTAACAATGAGATAAATGGATAATTTTTACAACAAATGATTCTCTAACAATTGAATATTCAGCATAGAAATCTTTGAGCCTTAAAAATATACAAAAATAGATCACAGACCTCAACATAAAGTCATCACTACACAAATTGTAGAAGAAAATATTTGTATTCTTAGGTTAGTCAAAGATTTCCTAAATAAGATATATAAAAATGCTCTATAAAACAATGATAAATTAAACTTTACCAACATCAAAAATGTTTGCTTTTAAAGCATATCATTAATAAATGAAAGGGTAGCCCTAGACTAATAAAAATATTTATAATATATCTCTCTAATTAAAATCCTGTACCCAGAGTATATAAAGATCTCCTACAATTCAATAACAAAATGACAAATAACTCAATTTAAAAAGACAAAAGAGCTGAACATACACTACAACAAAAATACACAACTGACAAAACACAAGGAAGGGAAAATGAAAATTAAAGTCCACAATGCAAAAGCACTACTCTCCTATTAGAAAGGCTAAAATGCAGTGTTGGTGAGGATATTGAGAAGTGAAACTTTCATTATTTGCTGGTGGCACTGCAAAATAGTGATGCACGGAGTAGCCAGGCCTACACTCTCTGACCGCTGGAGAAGTGTGTCATTGTAGTCTTAAGAAAGGCAATCTGGTCAGTGGTATCTACTAAAATTAGAAGTCAATGTGCTCATTGAATATTGACCCTTACTGGATTTGTCTTACAGATGAGTCCTCCAACGAGATACAAGTCCAAAGCCATCCTGTCCCCGTTTGTTGTAGAACAAAATTGGAAATAGCCCACACATCCTTCAGGAGGGCACTGGTTAAATTATAGTCTAGTCACACAGTGCTACACAATGCAATTGTAAAGAAGAGAAAACTATGAGAAAGTTCTACAAGTGCAGATATGGAAATAACTTCAAGTTTGGTATAAAGAAAGAAAATAAAGACACAGAACTATGGATACAGTTGCTTCTGTGCCTGTAATGTTTGTGAGTCAGAGGCACAAATTCTCGTGTTTCCTTATTCACGTGAAGAAAATCCCTGAATGGGACCACGAACATTAGTAACGGTTGTTGCTCTGTAGAAAATAGGAGGATAGGAGACAGGAGTGAAAGGAAAATTTTCAAAATGTGCATTTTGATCATTTGGATTTTTGATCCTTATGAGTCCACTACAATTTAAAACATCAAAATCAAAAGTTAAATCAACAGAATAAATAAAATATAATAAGGTATATTTATATAGAAAAAAAGACATTCAAATGGGTGAGTAAGAAAACATAAACTCCCCCAAATCACCATGTTTAACGGGAGCTCCATCTTGTCTGCAGCATTTTCCTTGTGGGTACGAGGTAGACCCTACCATGCTGAGATGCCGAAGGAGACTGGGGAAGGAGAGACCGGATACAGGCCACAGTCAGGCCACAGTCTCCTGCGGTAGTAATTCCTGAGCCATCACACACGCGCGCGCGCACACACACACACACACACACACACAAGACAACCAGCAAGCCCAAGCACTGAACTTCAACCCCTACTTGGCTCATGAGATGTAAAGTCTGAAAGTCACTTCACAGTGACTATGCCCTCATGTGCAGGTGGCAGTGGAAACACTGCCTGTCTCTCTGCTTGCCGGACAGTCGTGCATGCTTGCGTGTGGTGGGAGCAATGTGGGTGGAGAGACCAGAGTTTAAACACGAGCCACCGGACAGGCATCAGGGAGATGCAGAGTCTGGCCTCATGGGGTGGGCATGGGGAGAAGCCAGGCCTGCTTCCCACTGGCTTCCTTTGCGCCTGGGGAGAGGGCATTCTGGAAAGAGTGCTGGACTCGACTGTTAGAAACTGACACCTACTTCTTGAGGAAAGCAGCTATGCACACAGGCAAGGAAAAAATCGGTAATTCTCTAAGAAAATACCAACAATCCTACCCAATACCGTAGTAACAGCTTTAAAAACAGTGTGACATGGGGAGGCGGGGACCCCAGAACGGGGCAGGGAGCTGAAGAACCTCTGCGGCATGGGGGCAGTTTCCAGGAGCAGGTGGGGAACCCTTCCTAAGTTGTCACCCTCAGCTCTGTTAAGCAGTTTCTGGTTCCTGGGGGCTCCATGGCTCTTTGGGAGGCTGGAAGCCCAGGAAGGACATAAACTCTCCTTGGGGGATCCAGGAGGGCCACCTCTGGGAAACCTGTGTCTGTGACGCTGAGTGACAGCACCAGGCGGGCTGGGAGTGTGGATGAGACATCTCCAGTGCGCTGCAGAGAGGCGCCTGAGAGCCGGGCGCACGGGGCAGTTCCCCATGGGGCCACCCGCTCCCTGTCCACCCCGTCACTCACGTGGGCCCGTGCTCTGCACCGCCAGCCTCCCAGCTTCGGGTTGTGCACAGCAGGGTCCACCTCGGCCCCTCTCTCCTCCTGGCCTGTCCTTAACCTGCGGAGCAGCCCGACCTGCTCTCGTCCTTTCTCCTCCGCCCGGACTCCTCCCCACGGGGACCCAGCACGCCCAGATGTGACCCACGGGAGCCTCCTCTGCTCTCCACACACAGGGAAGGAAACAGCAGCTGCAGAGGGCAAGGGGGGCCCTGAATGTCACAGGCAGAGGGGAGACGGGGCACGGCCCAGGTCTCAAGTCCCTGAGATCTGCTCCCTGGCCTGTGGCCTGCGGGAACCCACGAGGACACAGCCTCCTTACTCCTGTTTCTGTCTCTATCTCTCTCTCTCTCTCTCTCTCTCTCTCTCACACACACACACACACACACACACACACACAGACAGCGCAGAATCCCTCTGCTTGCTTGGGAGAGCAGACAGGTGTGGTGGGGGCGTGGATGGGTCCTGTGCTTCTTTCGGATCTGGCTGAGGCCCTGGAAAGCCCGGCTGGCGCATACTTCCTGGCTGCAGGGCTCCTTGGCTTCTGCGCCCCTCTGCGGACCTGGGTTGTGGGAATTCATTTAGGCAGTGTTCCCAAGGGCAGCTGAGCAATCCCAAGGTCGGCGTTACCCGGCACTGCACCGCTTTAACAAGGAGACCGCCAGCAGCTTGTGCCTTCACGGCGGGCGTTTCTACCTCGGCCTGGACAGGAGATTGGAAATCGAAAATCTCCCTGAGGTCCAGCTCACTCCCAGGCTCCAAACCAATCAAACAAGGAAGATGGGTTTCAGCAGCAGCAGTGTTACTTTCACGAGCGCTGCAGCAACCGACGAGATTCCCAAGCATCAAAGAGCAGGCTGTATGGGGCCGTCTTGAACCCGGCTAGATGAGTGATGCTGAATTTTCAAGAACACTCTCGTTTGGAGCCCAAAGTAATTATGCAAAACTCCTATGCAACCTCTAGGGGAAACGACTGAAACCAATGAACAGGACCCCCTGGAGGAAACGCACCCACAGGACAGCTTAATAAAATGCCTGTGTTCCACTGACAGTGAGGAGAAGCTATCTTGCTGTAGCAAGCTACGTTTGTATCTAAACATCATATTTTCAAGTAGAATTTTGTTCACAGCCCGGCACCACCAGGGAAGACAGAGTATCTTGAATGTCCAACAATGTACTGTACGGATTCCTTTTATTAAAATCTCATTTCACTAGGATAGCTCCTCCGAGAGAGCCGTGCAGATAACGCTAGGAAATCAGCGAGTCCACACCACATAATTTTGTCACGCATATTAAATAGTGCTGCTTACGCATTCCCTATGCACTGTCGTGCCAGCATGCCAAAGGACAAGGACAGCAGTGGCTCAGAGCCAGGAGAGCTGGGGTTTTTTCCTCTGTTTTTTTTTCCTTCTCTGCTCTTTAAAATCAAATAAGAGGAAGAGCAAATCGAGGTCCGGCTGCCCTGGCCCTCTCTGCAGCGCTGCAGTTTCACGGGAGCCTGGTTTGACTCCTCATCTGCAGGTGATGAGTGGTGGACAGGGAGTGGCCACCACGCTGCCCCACAGCCGAGACTGGGGCCTTCCAAATGCACAGGGCTGTGCAGGAAACGGCCAGGGAGCTCCAGCTCCCAACCAGACAACTGGGGATTTTTTTTCATTTTTTTATTGTACGATTGAAGGGGATATAGTTTCTGTGTATCATTGGACAACTACACGTAGTTTATTTCAAAGATGCAGGTGTGAAGAGAGAGGCTCATCTGTGAGATCTAGTACAGACCAAAAACGTTGACCCTGCGCTCCCGAAGCTGATTAGGCCTTGGTGTCAGTCAGCTGGCCCTTACACTAACAGATCCCTGAGGTGATCTCCTTACACAGAGCAAAGGGGTTTGAGGGCCCTGGCTGCACAAACCCCTGACCCCACTGCTTTTAGACTGGTAGTGATACACCATCTCCTGGGAGGGCAGGGTAGAGCAAAACTGCTCACCTCGTCATGAGCCAGGGAGAAAGAAGAGAAGGAAGCAGGTGCACCACCCCTTCCGGGGTACCCCCGTGACCCAAGGCCTCCCACTCCCCCCTCAGCCACTCATGTTCCCGCAGCCTCCCCACAGCACGTCCGGGGACCGAGGCTTCAACACACAGGTCTCCGTGAGACTCAAAACGCAAGCCCTAGCAGCCTGCATTCTGTAATACACTTAAACTCACTAAGTGAAAAGCGATTTGTACCATGTCCCTGCCAGCAAGAATGGAAAGAGACCTTCCCACCAAAGCGTGTCCTCCGAGAGAAGCCGCAGGCAGGCACAGCCTTAACGGTGGGCTGGCAGCAGAGGCTGGCAGTCCTGTGCACAGTGGGA